CTAAAATGTAACGATTACCTTTTTCAGAAGCCGGGTGTATTGGTCCTACGATATCCACCGCAATTCTCTTAAATGGAGCTGTCTCTTATACACATCTAGATGTGTATAAGAGACAGATCTATTACTTATTCCTCACTACAACCTGTCTCTTATACACATCTAGATGTGTATAAGAGACAGCTATTATACACTGCTTTTAGCATTCTTATAACCAGAGGGAGAGTACCAATTGTGCATTTATCTTTCCAAACTATTATCTGTGACAGCGCACTCCTTGCGGTATTAATCGCACTATAGCCTAAGCCTTGGTCTAAATGGAGTATTGTGAGGAACTCTAAAACTGATTCTATAGGGGGTTCAACATAATTAATTTTTCGTTGGATACAAAATACATGCCACTTTCTGATGTATACTGAATACTGTTTGTGGGTTCCAGGTTTCCACGATTGGAGGAGTAAATTGGTAGTCCTTTGAGAAATATTTCTCTCTCTGTACATTTCCCTGATAATTTTGCAGCTATCAATACCAGCTTCTTGCGCAACGGATGTAATCTTTTCTTGTCGTACTCCAGTGTTAGCAATGAGTTCATCTTTGGTAGGATTATGGGATTGTCTATCAATAGGTCCACAAATATCGTAAACCATAAGCTTCACTTCGGCCTCTGTCTTTTTAAGTTCAAAATCTAACTCAATCTGCTTAATCTCCATATCCCGTTCTCTCATTATCTGTTCATACTCTCTCAATTGCTTTTCATGCTCTCTCTCTAACTGTCATTCTTCTCTAGCAGACTTTTCTCTCTCCCTAGCAAACTCCAACAAAGCTGTGGCTTCAATTCCCATTTCGTTTAATTATGCAAATCGGTTTGTACAGAGTTAGTTTACTCAGCGCCCATTGGTTAGGGAAGTTCAACTTTCCCGGACGAGCCCCCATTGTCACAAGCTCTGTTTGTGGTTTTCAACCAATGAAATGACTGAGTACAACTTGTTGCAATTCACACCAGATTATCTATTTAATCGTCGAATATTCCGACTTTAATAACAATGAAAAGTAAAGGTATAATATAAAATTAACACAGAATCATTATACAAATATCGAACGGAAATGTTCCTGTTTATAAACAAAATGTTCTGACGGCACGTTACGTCTGCTCGGGTCTACCGTAGCAACAAATCACCTTGGGCGGCTCAATTCCCCCAGCTTTCCTACAACAGTTTCTTGTAGCACAGTATCCGTAAAACTCGGGCGTCTCAATTCCACCACAGTTTTCTCGGTAGTATTATCCATAAAACTCGGGCGTCTCAATTCCACCACAGTTTTCTCGGCAGTATTATCCATAAAACTCAGGCGTCTCAATTCCACCACGTTTTCCTGTAATATTTTTCATAAAACTTGGGTGGCTCAATTCCACCACAGTTTTCTTGCATATATCAAGCATATTCCAGGCTACACACTTAGCCACATACTGCAGGATACGGTACTTCGCAAAACAAGGATAATTCCAATCCTTTAGGCCTATCTTTTGGCCATACAAATCATTGGCCTCCCTTGATCTATCTCAAGCTCAGCCAATCTTCCTCCACCGACCTCTACACAGTCCACCCCTCGCAATCATCCAAAATTAGCATAATTAATTTACATATGCATAATTAAAATTAGCATACAAGATATCCAGGTAAGACACAAAGTGTATATGAAAAGTATGAGCTTCATTTCATTTAGGTCAACATATACAGTCTTTGCATATAATGGTAATAATAATAATAATAATAATAATAATAATAATAATAATAATAATAATAATAATAATCACTCTGTTAGATATACAGTCTTTCCTTATAATAATGATAATAATAATAATAATAATAATAATAATAATAATAATCATCATCATCACTCTGTGACAGATGCAAATAAATCAATATCAACATTTCCCAATTTTCCAATTATGCTATTGAAAATATTTTTATTTAGAGACCATTCACAACAGTCATTGAAATTTCTACTCTCAAAATCTGCAAGTGTATTCTGAGAGCCTGGGATATGGGTTGCCAATAAATCAATGTGTAATGCACTACACCACCTCCAAATTTTGTAAGTTAATTTATTCAACTCTTGTTTTCGGCCTCCCTTGTGATTTAAATAAGTTAAAGCAGTAGTATTATCCATTAAGAGCCCAATTCTGTTTTCATTAATCTTCTCTTTAAATGACTTTAAGACCAAGAAAGCCCCCAATAGTTCCAGGTGATTAATATGCAGAGATTTTTCCCGCTCAAGCCACCTGCCTCCAACTTTCTCATCTCCTAAAGCATCTCCCCAACCTTCATTTGAAGCGTCTGAAAACAGTATGATATTTGGGGGAACTTCAATTATATTTTGGAATTGGTTACTAATTCCTGTGGTCCACCAACTTAAATCTCTCTTTATTATATTTGTAATACACATTTTAGCATCAAAATTGCCCTTGTTTCTTTTTAAGGCTAAATCTTTTGCGAATTCTAAATTTCTGTAATAAAAGGGCCCCATATTCACTGCTGGGAAACTTGCCACAATGCTACCAATGACTTTGGCTACCCTTCTAATCGTATCATCTTTTTTGTTAATCATATTTAGACACATATGTTTTATATTGTCGTCTTTTTCTTTTGGTAAAGCAACCTTCATTTCTACTGAATCAATAATAAAGCCTAGATGCTGTATTCTTTGGCATGGATATGTTATAGATTTGTCCCAATTAACAACAAACCCCAGTTCTAGCAATAAAGAGAGAACTACTCCTATAGACTTTTTAAGTTTTGTTTCTGTGTTCGCAATTATTAGCATGTCATCCAGATAGCATGTGATGGTATGCCCTTATTGTCTTAGTGTTGCATATACTGGTTTCATAAGTTTTGTGTACTTCCTTGGTGCACAGTATAGTCCATTTGGAAGACATGTGAATTGATAAAGCTTTTTATCCCACAGGAAACGAAGATATTTTCTATACTCTTGCGCTACCGATACCCCATAGTAGGCATCCTTTAAATCTATGGATGCCATAACTCAGTGTGGGGAGACCAGTCGTAATGCCGTATCAAACGACTCCATCTTAAAATGATGGTACTGTACATGAACATTAATTTTTTTCAAGTTTAATATTAATCTGAACTCTCCATTCTGTTTTGGCACAACGAAAATTGGTGATATTCACCTGGCTCATGTTGAGCTATTTCAATTACCTGTTTCCTGATAAGCTTAGAAATTTCTTTACACACCACGTGGCTATGCACTGAATTTAATGTGGGTTGTCTGACAGATATTTGCATGGGAGGACATTCAGGATCTCTAAATTCTATTGTGCATCCTTTAACAATTTGAAGTATCTCTTCATCTGAAGTTATACTTTGCCACTTTGGCAAATTATGTGCAA